CCACTACGAGTATCCACCATGCCAAGGTTAAGAGACAGCCGAACCTGGACAATTCTGAACGATGTACCAGCGACATGCTTCCGGCTCGTGAAAGAAGTGCTCTCCATGAGACAGAAGATCGTCTCGGAACGACAATCCATCCACTTTCTCCGCCGCTGCGTCCAACAAGGAGTCATCCCAAACTTCATCAGAAAGAAGAAACTCCACGAACTTTGCGGCCTACCCGAACGAAGCAGAAGAGTTCAAGATCTACAGCGAAGCCTCCTACGTACAGCTCTACGAGTCAAGAAAGACCAAATGTTTACGTTGTTGTTGAAATGTGTACATAAGGAAGAGTGTTGTAAACGTCTTCTGCCCGACCGCCTTTGGAGGAGAATTGTGGGTGAGTCGAAAGTCATATGTAATCTTATTCGGTCTGATGTCAAGAGTAGACTTCAAAGGAAGTTCGAGAATTTGGTTAGTGTAACGCAAAATCAGAGTCCACAAGCACTTAGTACTAGCCTAAGTTCGGAAAATCAAGACCATACTGAGGACAGCTCGGTCAATGTGCCAAGTTTCTCACGGGTGTCTCTTGTAGGTGATACACGTATCTCCGATGACGCAATGTCTGTCTTGGATCTAGGTCCAAGTTTCTCTCCAGTCCAATCAATAGGGCCTCGGGTCGTACGCAAGATCGTAGGCAGCCTGCAAAATGTTCACGAGGCACTGCGGCGCAGAGCGAAAGAGGAGCAACGCGCAAATCGTTTGGAAACTGCAGCAACCGCGTCCTTGCCGGTAATACCATTTCCTCGCTTATATTACAAGCCGCAGGAGCCTGACAGCACCGCAGATACAAAGTTTCGCGTTTTTGCCACCGCAGTCTTCTCCATTCTTAATAATTTCTCCAAAAAACGCGAAAATAATAATTTAACTACTGCCCAGCGCCGCGGCCTACGCGAAATCCGTGACCTATGCAACGCCGGGGAGATAAGGATTTCAGTGAGCGATAAGGGTGGCGAGTTCGTAGTGATGTCACGTGAAATGGACATGGCAATCACGCAATTACACCTGGCAGACGATACGACCTACGCGCCCTCATCAGCTGATGAGTTTGGAAAACAATACCGCCGCCTTAACAGGATTTGGTCTGATATTGCGCGGTCTGCGGGGCTTAACAGAAGCTTAATAGCACGTCTTAAAAGCGAGATGCCTATCTGTCCTGTGCTCTACACTTTGATAAAGACGCACAAACCTCCGGCGGCAGGGCTTTCTTCAAACAATGCGTGCGATTACAAAGTTCGACCCATAATCAGCGGCATTGGGGGGCCAACAGACAAAATAGCATGGTTCCTTAACATAATTCTGTCACAGCTGCTCCAATTCGTCCCTGCGCACCTCAATAGTACTAACATGCTCCTTGATCGCCTCCGTACAACACAGCTTAGCCGCGACTGCGTCATTGAATCATTCGACGTTACATCGCTGTATACCAATGTATCCAATGATGCTGCACTTCAAGCTAGCTTCGAGTTGCTATCTGAGCACCAAGCCTCTCGTAACTTGTACGGTCTTAGCATCCACGGAATAATGACCCTGCTACACGAATGCTTGCAATGTTCAGTCTTCCGATGGTCGGGCCAATATTACAACAGATTAGAGGCTTGGCAATGGGGCAACGTCTCGCGCCTACTTTGGCAATCATTTTTATGTCTAAAATAGAAGCGCCAGTGCTGCAGCGAAAACCCCTGCTCTACGGTCGCTACATAGATGACTGCTGCGTCATATGCCCAACTCAAGCCGAAGTAGATACTTGCTTCCAAATATTAAACCAGCAGTCACCAAACATCGTTTTCACCAGGGAGAAGCCTACTGGGGGGTGGTTGGCGTTTCTGAATGTGCAGATCCATCTAGCAGGCGGCAGTTACAAAACTAAGTGGTATCGCAAACCCAGCAGTAAAAACATCTTGGTGCATTCTTTGTCTGCACATCCAAATAGCACAAAACGGTCTATTGTGGGCAACACGTACAAAACAGCTCTGCGGGTATGTTCCGGCAGCGACGAACGATCGTACTCCATCGCCTTGGCCCACAGGATTGCTGCTTCCAATGGCTATGCCACACTTGAGCACAACCGTGGAGCACGCGGGTCTTCTCGGAGCAGAGCCCATGGTATGAGCACTGATAACGAGATCCCCTTCTGTCTGCCATTCATCTCTGATGAATTGAGCAGGGCAGTGCGGCGAGGCGTACAGCAGGCGGGTTTGCACGGCGTGGTAAGAGTGGTCGATATTCCTCCCGCTAATCTCAAACGCCAATTGGTTCGCAATCGAGCTTATGACCGCATATGTACCACTCCAAACTGTATGGTTTGCCCGTATGGTAGATGTGGGGACTGTATGCTAGCCGGGGTTATCTACCTCATTACATGCTTATCATGCGGTGACTTTTACATTGGCGAAACAGGACGTCCGCTTTGCTGTCGCGTTAAGGAGCATTTAGATGGTTTAAATAAGCTCAAAGCAGCTACGCCACTAGGGGAACATCGCATAACGCGCCATGGTGGGGCTCCTATACAAGTTACTGTAAAGATCTTGTCGTTAGAACCCGAGATCCTTACGCGCAAAATACTAGAAGCGTTTTGGATTAGCGCCAAAAATCCAAAAATAAACCGGAAGGAGGAGTGTACCGCCATAAAGAGAGAACTCGCGCCTTATCAGTCCCTATGCGGATTCGAATATGAGGCCGGGTCATCCAGGCACGTATAAAAGAGCTGAGGTTGAGTCTTGTGTATAGTAGTGGTCCTTGGACTTCCGTCTTGTGCTATCTAAGGTGAGTACTGTGCTTGTGAATATGGTTTTGTTTAGCATTGGCCTTGTTCTTGAATGATACTTTATCTATTGTTGACGTCTGGACGAGTAAGTTCATATACTTTCGGCTTGCAGGCTCTGAAGAAGGCGAAAGCGCCGAAACGTTAGCGAATAAAGAAGTGTTATCAACCTTGGAAGTTCGCTCAACCAATCCCACTACGAGAAAACAAACAATTTCTTTTTTGATTCTATGCATCGGACGCATTCTGCTTCCTGGTCGATGAGGATAAATGCGTCTGAACTGCAGCTGATCAATGCGTCAACATTTATCCAGATGTGCGAAAGGCGAAATATCCACTTTTTGTGCCCCACAAACGCTCCGCGATCCCGGCGAAAACATGAGTTAAGGGAGCGGGGACTTTGATAGGTTTGCCGTTCGCTCGTGTAGTTGGCACCTACGCATCACATCCAGTCTCCAACCTCACCTTCTACAGACATCCAAATTCTGCAGTACCGTATTAAATCTGAATATCGCCTATGAAATTATTGAAATTTACAAAGAGAACTTTCACGGCATGATGCATGACTAAAGTAACTGCTTAAATCTGTTCATGAGGCAACACAGAGTTTTAAGTGAGCTTTCGAAAGTGAGCTCAGAATGAATGTTGGTGGATAGGTGCATCAAGTGAAGTAGGTATAGAAGATAACGAGAGTTGTCTACATCCTTGAGCCTGCTCAAAAGACACTACTTTGATAAACTCACTTGAAAAGATTTTCTCAGTTTTGCTACAGAAATCTTGATAAATGATTCGCAAAAAGGATATCTCCTGTTTATATGAGTGCAAGATTTGCCGATTTTAGACAGTTGTTCAGAACCCTACTTTTCATGCTTTTCCGAATAGAGACTACTAATTGCTATCTTAAAAGTTACAACAGCCATTAGTACGCAGATAGGAGATAGGCAAAGTCAAAAGTTTGAAAATGATATGGAAAGTCACTCACCCGAAGGTATAGTAACCATGTCTTGATGTTATGACATGACGCAGGAGTGAGAGTGGTGGGATTTAGGTTGTTTACATTTTTTCACGCGTTGTCGCCTTTCGCGTGATCTCCATTATCCAGCAATGCGATTACTGTTCGTAGTGCGGTTTTTTTTTTGCGAAATCCCTGGCCTCATGTATCGTTCACTCTCTGAGTAAGGGATATGAGCTTTGCGTTGGCCTGGGGCGGTATGCATCAATCTCCAGTTTTGAAAGCGGGCAATCATTTTCAATAGAAATCGTACCCGGGTGGGCGATCATTTGCTATTGAAAATGATCGGCCGCTTTCAAAACGGGAGATTCATGCATACCGCCCCTGATTACAAGTTCAAGATTGGATTCTAGCGCGTTTTTTCTATTACTAGATGATACTAGCAATAGAGTTCTGATTTATTATAACGCATTAAAAACGTTTATACTAGTTTCATGTAAGTCGATGGAGAACCGCTTTGTGTTAGTGGCCATAGGTTTTCCACATTGGCGTGGTGGGTAGACACCTCCATTTGTAGGACAACCCTGACCTTTAACTTTGGTTACCCCCACAGTTTTGTATGGCGTTCTATACACTTTACAATCTTAGCTGCTATTTGGAAAAGTTGAAATGTCATCTGCAGTTTTTGCTGTGTCAATGCTTTATCAAATGCACATATACCTCGAAAAAGTGCCATATCCGACCTAAAGTATTCTCTAAAACTCATAGCATAAGACCATTGGTTCTGCACATGATTTTATGACTTATGATTTGAATTGTGTTATTTGATGTTTTCATTTTTCATAAACAGCTCCTTTAGCGCATCAATGAATGCACTCAACAAATAAATAAATCTGCTATGTCAGAAGAGCCAGCGGTCTTCCAGTCCTTCCGTGGACGTTGGTTGAGAATATAGGTTTTGGAACAAATGGGAAAAAGCACTGATGGACTTCCTAGAAGTAAACCGACGAATCCATGTTGGTTTGTTGATTGGCAGGACCTTCGCTCAAAATCTTACTTCAGAACTCAAATACAGTTTCCTTGCTGTATTTTGTGCATGGAGAAGATTAAAATTTTGCTTCAGTCTGATTGCGCAAAAAATATGTCCCCAACTCTCATGAATGATCACCCCGTTGATGAGATGTGTTATAGTTCTTCTGATAATACTTTAAATCATCCGAGATTAGGCTGCCTTCCGTTATATTTGAAAGCAAAGCTTTATTTCAGTAATAAATAGAGCATAAGAAACAGAACTTATAAAGTGCACTTTCAATACGAACAGTCACAATCAAACGTTCTCCATGAGAGCCGAAATTCTCTTCGGATTACGGACTTTCATTTCTCCCATCGAGCCCTATAAATGGTAACGATGTATTCCTGAGGAATGTGCGGATATGACTTACATTGTACACTTGGATTGGACTATTTGGGAACACGCTATGAATTGCGTACGCGAGCATGCAAGCCTGGACTCCAGCATTGCACATTACCACACTCGGCTTCTCAGGTTTGAAGCCATGTTGGACTAACCCTAAACAAGACAAGGTGCGTTGTTGAAGAAAGCATGATGCTTGTATTGAATAAAAAAACACTTTGACCTTTTTTTAATGATTTCAGCACACAATGATTACGCAAAATATCTTCTGAGGGAGAAACGCAGGAGGAGAGGACCGAAGGTGAAAATTTTGAAATTGGCCACCATGAGATAGAAAATTGCTCGATCGATTTGTGTCAACATTCATACATCGAAGTAAATTTCAAAATCTTTGAGAACTCAAATTAACCTTGTAGAAAAACTGGCTGCAGCCAAGCACCTTTTCTTTGAATTTCTAGGTTAAGGCCGCTGAAAATTCGGAAAGCCACACAAGACAGCAGCCAGTTTCTGAGACACTTCTTTTTCCCCACTATCCTAGGTTCGTGGTTCTGATATACGGCTGGAAGCGAGGCTCCCCCCCCCCTCTATATATTTTCGTGAACAGGGGAAAGACGCTGTGTTGTCATGTATTTGTAGAGACTGTTTTTGATTGTTTACAAGTTCTCTGATTTTTACGTTAACCTGAAGATTTTTTTAGTTACGCCGGGAAGGTATCGGTAAAAGGTTGCATAGCAGATTTTCATCTCCCTTCTTTGACAATAAAAATGGAAACGTTTAGATTTCTTTTCTGTAATACTATACCTTTCAAAAAATCTGAAACTGAAAATGAGATGTCTTGCTCCTACAGTACTTCAGATAGAACAAAAATGTTTCAGCAGACCACTAGAAACAATAAATGTATGAAAAATAAATGCATGCACTAAGCACACAAAATACCTAGAACATGACAAGATTGAGGTGAAATCAGGAGAAAAATATTCTTGAAAGAAATTGCCCTACTGATTCCAAGCTTGTGCGCACCAGCTCGCAACCAAGTCATTAGGACTACTTTTGAAAATTCACTTCCCAACCTAAACAGGAGCGTCAGCCAAAGCCGACGAAGTGCTAACTTTTCTTAAGGCTCAAGATAATTCCATACTCTTCCGTGCAACAACAAGGAGAAGCTTTCTCGCTTTCAGTGCTTTCGGTGAGGAAGAAAAAAATGTCAGCACGCTCTGCTTCTTATAAACTCCACGATAGGAGTCACATGACGCTTGAATCAACAAAAGCTAGAGAAGATTTCTCTAATGTACTTACAATCTCTGAGATTATCAGGGTTCCTTAAGTGATCACCATCCACCAACTCAGCAGCAGGCAAGTTTTTGAACCCAGGAATGAAAGTTCCAATCACACCTTAATAACAGCAAATAAATATACAGTCATAAAAGAATTGGTTATATACAAAAACGTGATTTACTTGGTGGGAAGTCCCCCGAAGCTGTCCCTTCGTATTGACCGCGCACTCGCGAATCCAAAAGATTGAGCTAGAATCAAGCAAAAAACGTATGACTGAGGGGTAGTTTCCAGATGAGTTGCCACCTCACATCGTCGATGTACTCGATGTACGGCTTATCGCCATGAGCTCCTTCGAGTTCGTCGTAGTTGATATTGTATGTGGAGATGCAGTCACTTGCGGTCCATGTTCCAGGCTGAAAAATTTTTATCCATGTTGTAAAGCAGAGTAGATGTGTATGTTTACCTCCAACTTTACGTCCTCCTTGCTGATCTCATATCCTTTCTTTTTCCACTCTGGCAATCCGCCATCGATTACTGACACTTTATCGTGTCCATAACTCTCAAAAGCATCTTTTAAGAAGATTCGCATGTCAGAATTAAGCAAGTACCTTAAGGAGCCAAGCGACTTTCATCGCATAAATCATTCCTCCAAACCTTGAGTGGGAGTATAAGATCAAGTGTTCATCGGAGTTGATGCCTATTAACTAAAATCATGCGTATTCATTGATTACTTCAAATATGCATACTTTCAAAGAGGATGTAAAAAAATTTTCAGCGTTTCAAATCTAGTGATATTCTCGTAAGACATGAATCTACTTCATATACATTCAATCTTCAAAATAATAAATAAAGCAAACATGAGACTTGGTTACCAGTACCCGTATGTGAAAATTTTCAAAGAAAGGTGAGGGAGGAGTAAACAGAGATTTCTGGTAAAAATGGGGATTTATCACTCTCCAAGAAAAATATTGGGATCTTTTCTGAACTATAGCCTATAAACATGTAATTTTACAGTTCAATAGGTTTTTTGTAGCATATGGGAGCATTTTGGATACTCACATAGAAAACCGAGTTACTTGTGTAATTTGATAACTTTTCAGAGCATCACCCCTTCTTCTTCCCCCCCCCCCCTCGCCCTTTCCTCCCCATGCTTCGCTCTCTCCATTCTCGACCCTCATGTTTTGTCATTCTCGAACCTTTTCATGGCCTTGATTTCAGATCCAAACTCCAAATTGCGTGAAATCCCCGACAATCCCTTTTGGGAACTTATTTTTATTGCGCGGACGAGTATTCCGCCGCTAATTCATTGCGGTGCAACGTGAAAACGTACCACAGACACGAATATTTTGCAAATGCAACGTGAAAATGGCGCGCGGAACGTGTAAGCTCGTCCACGTAGATGTATGAGGAGCAAAAAGGGTTTGGGGGGCAGCCGTATTTGAGGCTTTGAAGTCGCATTTTCCGAGCGGACTTGATGACTTGCTTTGGTTGAAAGAAGCCTTTAGAACCGCGTCAAAATTTGGGATAAGTCTATTTTATTCAGTCGCTCCTTTGAGACAAAAAATGCGCTGAGTTCTCATTGCCGCCTGTTCTGCAAAGTAGAGGCTGCTTCTTCGTAACAGTGACATATAATGGCGAGAAAAAAGAGGCAGAGCTTAGCTAAGACGTAGAAATGTTTGAAAAAAAGTGAATTCTTGCAACACTTACAAGCGTGCGCGCATAACTTGACCTAGCAAAACTAATCAGACTATTCCATGATTGTAATCATTTGTGCAACTATTTCACATCATCTTGACTGATTAACAACAAATACAAACCTGCATATACTTCTGGAATATTTCAGGAGGATAAATATCATATCGCACATGCTCGGACGGATAGAATGCTGCATCTATACAAAAATGTGGTGCTAATGGGATATGGCCGGAAAGGTACATTTCCTTCGAACTGCAAGGAGAGAAGATGAACGAGATGTAATGCTCCAACACATTATATTGTTCCATAAGTTCGCAGCGTTTTCATGAACCAAAAAATGATGGAATTTTGTCAAAAATTAGTCGATAATGTAATTTTCGCTGTCTCACAATCTCCAACCACCTTATTGTCAAACTTTTTCCAAAATTTAGTGCACCTGGTCCGGAAACAGTCGCCTAATCAGGAGATCGTCTACATGATCGAAACAGAGCATACTATCTACAAAAAAAGCCGGGCAACTTAACATCTGGTGGAGCAAGGCTGAGGAGTACAGCGGATACTAATATGCCTCATGGTCAAGTCTTGCAAAACAGTTGAACAATTTTGACGACGTTTGCCGTACGGAGCCTTTGTCATGCAGAAAACCTCACTAGACCAGTTTGAGTCATTTCTGCAGTTTGTGTAGGCTGTGTAGCTGGAGCTTACGATATGACCGACTATTTTATTCTTTTCCTAGCAACTTCGATGCAGGACGTCCTGCCCGTCCCACGAAAACTCTTGTTCACACTCTGTTCAGCCCTCGGTTCTCAAAACACTTCAATTCTTTTTTGTCTCATATCATGTGAAAACGCCAATTTTTATAATCCGCAAAAAGCTATGCAAAAACACTTTCTTTGCAAGAAAAAATAAGCACTTGTAGAATTTCCATTGTTTTTTGAAAATTCCCATTGGAAAATGAGAACTCGAAGTAGGTCAGTTTTCAAGTCAACGATTATAAAGAGCATAATTTGCTCATTCTAGTAGTGTGTAGCATCTTGCCGCAAATCATCGTCTCTCAAAGAAATGAGGATGAGAATAAAAACGCCTCGAACTCATGGAACGATCTAATGCTATCAATTCTATCATATCACGGAAATCCAACGTTCTAGCAATAGCTCTTTGCATTGGCTGTTTTTTAAGTACAACAAATAACGACCCAGTAGGACACTTCTCTACCCCTTCTAAAAGATAAAAGCGCGAATGTTTAATTTTTTCAACTTACGGGCATGGCCTTGCAAGAATCCTCTCGAAATCTCCATACAGCTCCTTTTTGTAGTGTTTCCAATCAGGTTTCTTTTTGATTTGCGCTGAATCGTAAGCGCAGTCTAGGATACGGACGCCTTCCTTATTGATGATATTCTTTTTGAGCAACTGGGCCACAGTTCCAACGTCGACGAGTCGCTTCAGCGACATTCTGAAGCATGAAAATTGGATGTACGGTCAAGTCAGAAAGAAATGCAGAATAGATAACGATATAAAAAACACGCGAACAAAAAACACTGATAAATCATGTGGAATTGGCTGCCTGAAAGTTTAGAGATGGTAGTATACTTGAATTGATATGGAAGAAAAGCAGTATAAGAGAATAACACAAGATCCTGTTGCTGTCTCAAGCAAAGCATACTTACACTCATACAAATCAAGGATATTTTTGGTTGAACCTTTCGGTCATTCTCGCTAATCAAAATTCTTATCAACAATCTAAGATCAAGCTCTTATACTCACCTTACATTTTATAATTTTATTTTTATTTGGTATTCTCATAGTATTTTAGATATTCAATCATGCGCTGCTTTTCCGGGAAAGTCACGTCTCGACATTTCTGAGAATGAATGAAAGAGATTTACTTCAACGCCACAACTAAAACTCTTTCAAAGTTTATCTTCACTCTGTTAACGAATTCTGAAATTGCAAGGAATTTCCTCTTACATTATATTGAGAAACTAGCTGGCTTACCCGGCTCCGCCGTATGTTCCGAATAGAAAATTCGATTTCTGAACCGATCCGGACCAAACTTGGCACACATACACTACGGGCCCCGGCGGGTGTCATAGGCTACTAGTTTCTCAGTATAATGTAAGAGGAAATTACACCCCTCTGCCAAATTCCAGCCCCCTAGCTCAAATTTTGCAAAATGTCGATAAAATCGATGTCGATAAAATCGACATCGATCGATAACAAAAAGTGGACTGTGACACCCGCCGGGGCCCGAAGTGTATGTGTGCCAAGTTGGTCCGGATCGGTTCAGAAATGGAATTTTCTATTCGGAACATACGTACAGACAGACAGACAGACAGACATACATACAGACATACAGACATACAAACAGACATTCAGCTTTATATATAAGATTAGAATAACTGAGACTCCTTCTACACGTAACTTAACCCATCAAAATTTCTCTAACTTTTTTGAAAAGCTCCTGGATTCAAAGAGCTCCGTAATTTGAAAAGGAAATTAACATCCCACGTGAAGTTTTACCTGTAAAGAAACTGTTTACAGATATTGGGCCGGATTCACTATTGACATATACTCGCATCTAAATTCTAAAACTTAGCCAACTTTGTGAGAGAGCTTTCTAATGCTCGTGCGTCTAGCGGTGGCTGTGATTTTATCTTACGGCTCGCAAAAATTGGCAGGAACAGCGTAACGAGAACAAGTTGTTTGAAGGTCAACAATTCAGAGAACTTACTGACGACTATCAATTGTGAATCTCCCTTCCGTTTAACTTGTGAGAAATTGGGAAGGCTTGGATTGCCCAAAACTATGGAAGTCTTTTGAAACCGTGCTCAACTAGAGGGGTTTTATATGTCTGACACATTTTGTACATCAGTAGCAAACGCGAACAATTTTCGCCACACGGTGAGACTTCTCCCATATTAATAAATGCCTGTACCCGACCTCAAAAAAATCAAATTTTTCACATGCTCGTAATTCTAGGCTTAAGAAGGGAGGCAGCGGCAGCCACGCGCGATGAAGCTCATGATTTAATTTGATTTGTATAAAATTTACAAACTTGTTTTGATGAATTGATGTTTTGATGAAATTTACAAACTTGACTGTTCACAAATACTACATGCATGAATTTACAACTCATGTGGTCAACTTTAGAGAACTTCCAACCCCCTCCCCCCCCCCCCTCCCCCCCCCCCACACACACTTCCACACACCGCTAGATTCCTCCGTCATTAGTGATGATGATCGTTGCACGACATCAAATGTGAATGTTGTCCCTATAGTATTTGTCAGTGTTAGATCAAGTTCACGTTTCAAGGTGATTGATTGCGAATCACTTCTCTTTGGCATTTCCATTAGTGAAGATTGTATCAATGCTCTAGCGACAAGGCATCAAAAGTTTGCAATATGAATACATTTGTATGTGTATTTGGTCCAGGTGCTGGACCTGAAAAACGAAAAGTAAGAGATCAGAGTGGAAGAACACAATCGAACAGAAGAAGTATAGTATCTAGATTGCAGTTTTGAAAATGAACTTACCAACTATTACGCTACGATCTGAACTTTTGGGACACGTTGAAGCACAATGCGAACGATGAGGAATGATTTATAACGTTACAGCTTATTGCACTCTCTGTGTGAGTGAGTCTATCTATCCGAAGTTCATTTAGAGGAGAAGCATTTATGTATTTTATCTTTATTATCTTTATCTATTTTATCCTCTAGCAGGAGGCTGTATGATAGTGTGAAACAGTAGTCATTGAAGCATGCAAAGGTATAATATAATAGCATGCAAAGGTATAATATAATAAAGGTTAAAAAGCGTGGCTTCTGAGTAAAGCGTTAGCGTTTTCAAATGCATCAAATCAGTTTTGCAATAAATTAAAATTCTAATAATGAACCTTGGGTAGTTTTAGCATTGATATCCCACTGTTGAAGAGAAGGATCATCGCGAGAAAAACTGAATGCGTTGTAGATATCTAGATACATTAGCAAGTTACTATCATTTTTTGCATCTGCTTCTTACTATTCCTGCCTTGTCGCTGCCTAGCATTTAGGATGATGACCAAGAATAGAAAAATCTACCTAGTGAATTAGCATCAGAAAGATTAACATTAGAGCTGCATCAACTAACCAAATTGAATTCTACTCTCTACGATCGCTTCGACGATAACTTTTTCTTCCCTTTCGCCGCCTCCACGTTTAAATTGATTGACTTCGAAATGCTCAACGTTCACAAGTCAACACTCAGTAGAGAATCAAGAAGGCAAAAATAGCAAAAATAATCTCTTCTTATGCAAATTAGAAGATGAAGCAACGGACTATATTCATATCTGAAACCATCTCTTCCAATGTATTGAGCTGCCATGTGAAAGAGAACGCACAAAGTTTATAGAGGTGAATAGTAGCAAGACATCGATTTGCTAGACTGGCTGTTGACCATGAAGTAATGTAAAAAAAAGGAACGTACGTGCGTACAGATGCCATCAATAAAAGCGAAGAACGAGAGGAAATCTAGCTAATTTTGCAACCAAGCAACAAATTGTGGAGGAAAAGCACGTTAGGATTCAAAAAAATGAGGTCTCTCATGCACTTGTATGTTCGGACATGTGTGAACATGAAATGAAATTACGAACAGGATGTTGTCAAAACTGAAGAAATGGCAGAGACTACTATTCTCAATTAAAAGACATTGAGTTCAGAAAATTATAAATTTATAATTCACAATCAATTTTAATTATTTTCTTTTCAATTATAATTTTTATGGACGTCTTGCCACAGCAATCAAGAACCGAAAAAAGGGAAGAAATATTTGCTTAGTCGTCGAGTCTCGCTAGATTCGCGTCTTCGTTGAACGTGAATCCAGCATAGGAGCAGAGAACCAATCATGGAGAAGATGTTTTCATCCTATAGAACGATAAAGAAAGTGCATACGGCACGCATTTCATTGCAGCTGACAAGTGCGATCGAAGAATTTTCACTGCCTGTGCAACCGTGCTGCGTGCGAAAACAAAACTATAGTGCAGTGCAGCATTCGAAAATGTGGGCGAAAGTGGTAAACACAAAAGAATCTTTCAGATATGGAACACGCAAAAAATTTTGACCTAGGTTCGGGCCAAGGAAAGACCGAAATGACATGATTTATGAAAACGTGAAAATGACTTTTCACTAGAAAATTATGATGTCAAATTTATGTGCTCATATTATGGCTGTTTACAAGCGTTGTATGTTTACATCAGTGGCGTACCGAGGCCCCCCCCCCGCGAATGGGTCGCGAAATTTTTGGAAGTTACTTAAATGTGTTATAAAAATGTGCAGAGGACTTACTTGTCAGGGGCCCGGAAAAATTTTGGGAAACACCTCAAAAAATTTTTCGGAGTGCGTGGCTGACGCCACGCACCTTCATTAAAAAAAAATTTTTGTCGCCCCCCCCCCGAGCCGAAATCCTGGGTACGCCACTTCCACTGCTTTACATGTATCAGATTGTAGTAGAAGTGTTCACAATCACATTACAATTCAAAAATCTTCAAAAATATTCTTGGATGGTCATTAGCTTTATGTGAGCGACGCCCCCTTTCTGATTATTTCGAGTTATACGGCTGCAAAAAGTTGTCGTGCTCAACCTGCGTATTCGATTCCCAGAGCCAACCTGAAAAATTTCCCACCCTCCCCCCCCCCCACCGAAAAATTTCCTCGGTTCGCTATCGGCTCATTTCAAGCATTTCGAAACTCACTGGGTGTGGTAACTTCAGTGTAACGAATTTTGTGAAAAATTGTAACAAAGAAGAGTTTTTTTTGAACTGATATTTTCCATAGATTTTTCACATTCGCTATGAGATAACAGTTTGCTAAAGAATCTAGTCGTTACTAGCGTGTAAAGACTTTTATAAATACTTTGCCCACGTCTATGTATCTAGCTGCATAGATTCTTGCTACCCTTTTTTTACAACCTCAAAGTGTCAAGAAAATGATTCACTGTGCTGCCCGCAAGTTTTGATCTTTCTTTTATCTGATACGAAATGTAACCTGGCTTTATTTGCGTAAAATAATATAAAGCTTCACCGTTCCATGGATAAGACAAAAGGTCAGTGATTTGGTTCCATCTGCGAGTAAATGAAGCCAGTCTTTTAGATATGCCACTGGTCCAAGCAGAAGAAAGCAAAGAATTTTTAAGTCTACGAACTTGGATACATTCCTTTGTTACAGGATATATGTACAATGCGACTAAGCGTTATTAAACTGACGGTTAACATTTAGATATGGGGTTTATACTAGATCCCATATCTGAGTTTCAATCGTAACGTGATCTTTGTTCTTGTCTTTAATATATGGAGAAATCAATGTCGCTGTTTTTTTTTTCAAATGCTAAATTAGAAATTAGAAGCTTGTGGCCGATTTTTGAACGTTCAACGATGTGGAGATGTTTGACATGGTGACATTCGTCCTCGGAGGAAATTTCCAA